CGGAGGTTATCGGCGATGAAGTCGTGCATGCGGTGAGCGTTCGTGATAAGTGCGGGAAGACTGCCCAATAAGGGCCAGACACGTGGACCTTTATATGAGCGGCGTAAAGAAACGAACCATATAAGATAGGTTACGATGACGGTAAGTATGATCACAGCCATCGACCCATCCATTTTTGTATAGTTTAGTGTGGAGATCGAGGTGAGAGCATAAGAAGAGAAGAAGTGTATATGTAAATGGAAGATATAGTCGTATTAATGTTTTATAGGTTTTTTATAAAAGAAAACAAAAACAAGAAATGTGAAAAGAAATGTAAAAGAGAAAATGAAAGTATATATGAGCAATTAATAAGGCAACTAAGTTTGTTGTTGATAATTTTTCCCAACCAAAAAATTTGGACGTATAGTTGCATGTCATGTGTTTGTGTAGTGTAAGTGTTATGTTTGTCATTTGTGTTTATTAAAACCTAATATTGTATACATTAATTCACCTACAATATATCAACCTTTTTGTTTCCTCACATGCATGAGTTTGTCCATAATCATCTTCCCTAGCTAATTAAACACATGATTTTTTTCAGGCGAAAATTATTGTTAAGGAAAAATTTTGTCCTAAATTAAAATAAACTCGTAAATTATACCCTCATTTTTTTTGGGGTGAGAAATTCGTAAATTATACTATATAACAGAGTAAGTTAACTAATCAGTCGTAATTACTCTTTTACGTGAATATAATTACTCATAGCTCGTTTCACAATCTAAACTTTTAATCATCTTAATTACTGATTAATGAGTTTGCAGTTATGCATTGACGAAATATATGTAAATTTGTGTTTGTAAGCTACTAGATTGACAGTTTCAAGTGCTTATGATATGATCATGTCAATTTATTTGAATGAGATATATGTTGATATGGGACATCACATGATGAATATGTTATAACTTAGAAGCATATATGTATTGATAGTTGTAATAAAAATATGTATACCCATAAAGATATATTATCAATGACAGCTATAATATATGGCAAAATAAATTAATGGTAAGTTACATCTTAAGGGGCCAATGCCATTAGTGCCACTTAAGTTGGTGAGACAAAAAAAACTTTTATGAATAAATATATAATACAAAAACAATTAAATAGCATGAATGAATCATATAATTCCTACTTTTGTTTTTGGGAAATAATAATTCCCACGCGTGATCCGAATAAATTCTGTCGACTCTATAATATTTCTTCCACGAGAACACAATAATTCAGAAAAAGGTTAATAAAACAAAACATCGTGTTCAATGTCGTTTTTTCACGACTCTATTATGTAAAACAGTTTCATTTTACAATGTCAATGTATCATTCTGCTATAATTTATCAAAAAGTATATAACTTTATAAACAAAATCAGTTACATCATATATAAAACGTTATATTAAATCATGTATATAATTGGCTATGCATGAATGATAGAGAGAATAAATACTATGGACAGCGGCACTTCAACTTAAAATACGGCATTAATTTGGGTTTAAAAGTTGGGGGTCCTTTGTTTCTTTTTCAATCATTGTGATTTTTCTTTCGTTTTCACATTATACGACAACTACATTTTTTGTGTTTTTTTTTTTTTTGCAGATTAATTTACATTGCCATAGTCGCTGTAAAAATATTAAAATTGTCATTCACTAATTCATGTATGAGTAATTAGTATTGCAATTATTGGGAATGTAAAAATGTCAAAAATATAATATAGAACATACTATAAGAAAATTATATAATATGTTTGTTTTATAAAAAGAAGAGATTTTTATCAACTATCTGATAATAACTATCTCAAGGTTTTATTATTTATTGTGAGTATTTATTTCATTATCTGTTTTACATGTTAAAGTTACCTTATCAACCAAAACTCATATCAAAAGTTTTCTAAAGTACATATATGTACCATAAAAACAATCCAAATGATAGCATAGAACAGTGTGCATTAAATCAATTGTTCATGGTGATAAAAATTGTTAAGAGCAGCTCCATTGGTGTATGCTTCAAGTTCAAGTTATATAAATTCTTTATGACAAAGGTAAGATTAATACTGAAGAAATCATTATGAAAGCAACTATGTAAGTCGTCGTTTCCAAAACGAAAACAAAACTGACTTAACTCGGTGCATATGCTATTAGTTAGATATATAGGGTCAAGTAATTTCAACTTAATTTGTTTCACATAATTTTACCTCAATAAGAAAATCAATATTGTTCACACCAAAAAAAAAAAAAAAAAACCGCTTCTGTTAGCTCGATCAAATCGCTCTGAGCGTAGTTAAGCTCAGTGTCAGTGATGCTATGTAGAGGTTGTTCAATGTCTCGATTAGACCAAGGAGGATGTTCATGTATATATGCTGTCCTGAGTAACTGGTTCTTTGGTTTGAAATTCAATGCAACGTTTGGATGTTCCACAAAAATCCAACTCACTGAAGTCACCTGTGTACGAGAGAAATAACATGTCAGTATGTCACAATAAAAAAATTGTGAATAAAGTAGTTAAAAGTTGTAGTAACCAAATACGTATATATATACCTGAGAATAAAGAACTTGGAAACCCCTTGACATCTAACATCTCATTCCCAGTTACAGACCCTTCATCATCAACTTGAGCTACTTTAACTTGGACATTGATGATGAGTTTATTATTCTCCAAAAAGCCGTTTCCGTGAAGCTTTTCAAGAGGCATGGCCTTTGGCCAACCCATTTGTGGGATGTGAGTGCAGAACAGTTGGTAAAACGGTTCTGTAAGACAAAACCAAAAAGCTCAAATTAATATTTATCATTTCCCTAACAATCATATATATATGCAAGATATTAATAAGTATAGTAAATATATTGCCATCTTTTCTGTAGAGCTCATGGCCTGGTTGATTCAATAGACTTATAGACCGATGGAAAAAGCAGCTAGTCTTTTCCATCCAAATCGGAATGATTCAGGATCCGCAACGCAGAGGTACATAGACAAGTGATCATCAATGTGATCTCCGTTGGGATGAACCTTCACATACCTGAAAGACGCACATATACATATTCATATATTCCAACTAAGATTCCGAGAAGATTAGGGTTAGCCTCCTATTCGTTTTTCTTATGTTAGAAATCTTGGATGTCAAATCTTAATTAGGGTTTGAATATTCAAAGTAGAACCCATCATAACAAGAGTTGTAAATTTTTTTGATCCAAAGCAATGCATCTGCTTTCTCAGTTACGATATATGTTTGAATCTAAATTAGGATTATACCAGATTTGCTTGGTGTATAGAAATTAAAACTTGTTAAAAGAAAAAAAGGAACATATTTGTTCATGCTCTTGTATATGAGAATCAACAAAGAAAGAAACAAAAAGTTAAAGAAAGTTAATATCATCAAAGTGTTGTGATGCCATAAAAACATGACAATCACCATTCTCTCCGATTCCATAACGACGCCTGAACTCTTCATTATCTGCAATTCCTTCAAGCCTAACCATTCTGATGTCGTGTCTTGTTACATCGTAATAGAGAATGTAGAAAGGTTCAAGATTGTGTGACAACAATTGTGGAGCCAGAATGATCTCGCCGGGTTTGTTGCAGCCAATGAAGGAATATGATAGAAGCTTACTAGGACTCAACGGAAGCTTACATCTTATATTTGACCATTCATGTTTTTCAACATTGTCAAGTATCCATAATATAAACCTTTCGCGGTAAGGATAATAAGCTGTATTAACAAAAGCTAGCTTCCCTTTGTAATTCATCAAGTTTGTACCAGGCTCCCACCCTCGCTTGATAAAAGGTGGGTTGATAAAACTAATCTTCTCAGACCTGACATCAAAACAAACTATAACCTTATCAAAGTTTGGTCTTCTAGCGCCGTAATAGACAACTCCATCGATGCATATTCCTTTCGTTGAAGAAATATGAGGCTTGGTATTGTCGTTGATTTCCCGCCACGAAAGGTTCTTACTATCACCTCTTCCTAGTGTTAAAACCTTGTGCTCTACATCACCAAAATCCCCCCGAGAAACCGTCATGCACAATGCTTTGTACTGATCATCAATCGGGTCGTATCCCAAGTATATAGAACTACATTTATTATGTCCAGTTTTTGGTAATGCAACAATCTGTCTCGTGGTAGGGTTACATATCAAGAACCGACCTTGATGTGAGCAACATACAAAGCCACGAACCAAATTACTTCGTCTGCAGCTATAATTATCGGTGGAAGCTACCAAAGTTGAAGAAGACTTTTGCTCCCCCTCGCTTGAAACTATTGTCATGTCGAGATTAGCTACCAAAGTTGAACAAGACTTTTGCTCCCCCTCGCTTGAAGCTGAGAAGAAGAACAAACGCTTCTTGGTATTTCTGGTGAAATCACCATTATTGAAAGTGATTAGTAGGCTTGAACCGCGATTCAAAGACCTAGAGAAGAAGGAATCGATGAATCTTTGACTTCGGATTATCGAAAGCCAAAACTTAGATAAGTATTGGAGCTTCATAAGAGATTTTCCGGGCAATCTACAAAGAATCTCCGACGTTAGATCATCAGGGATCGAATCTATGTGATCACTTGTACCATTACATTCTCGTCCCTTGCGTTTCATATCGAGGAAAGGGTTCCTTTTTGGTTATTGCTAAAGTACGTGTGTGCTTCGACTAGGGTATATGTAATGATGAGAGTTCCAATATGAAGGCCTTGATTGAGTTTCGGGTATATAGGGACTACTAGATATATACAAATCTATTATGTACAAATCTCCAAAGTATAATTAGATATATATTAGTCATAATTAAAAAAAATATCTCAAATTTCTATTTTGATTTCTCATCAATATAGATAAACAGCATCAAAATAGCTAAATTATTATTAATTTTGAGTTCTTACGAAAAACTTAATCTTTCTTTTCTTTTTTTTTTGTCAACACTAAAAACTTAATCGGACTGGCGATTTTTCATTTTTTTTTCTGAGCAGACAAAATAAACAGAACTAAAAGTCTAACACTGTCATAATCTATAGAATTATTGGAATTTCTTTGTAGAAATGTTATTTACAAATGCGATCAATGTGTATGCACAAAAACAAAAAACTACATAGAGAGAAGCCATATACAACAACTAATAACAACGCCAAATATTTATTACAAAACCAAAACAGAGAGACAACAAAACATCCCTACCCTAAGGTACTGAACAGAACCATCTTAAAATTCTATATAGTAGAGAACATCATACCAGTGTATAAAATCAAAGGAAACTAATAAGATCCCTAGTTAAATTTTAGTTCTTGAATCTTCTTGACCAAGATCATTGTGTCCGAATCCGATTTCTAAATTTTTAGATTCTATATAATAACTAAATCTTCTGATGAAGGTTAGCTAAGTGTACCTGATTGCATCACAGGGAAGAAAGACCAGTCGTTGCTGTTCTTTGGCGAAGCTCTATGTTCATCATCGGTCAAGTGATTCTCATCCGTGCCGAAATTAAATTCCTTATTCGACCCGAGAGAGGATTGATTCATTGCTTCTGGATTCGATGATGTTGATGATGCTTCAGGGAACGTTGTCCTCAGCTTCTGATCTACGCATCTAATGACATGATCCGCATCAAGATCGAATGAAACCGGTTTATGCGGTCTCACAATCTTGTGATCTTTAGAAGGAGTTGTAACAGTCTTTGGACAATGCAATCTACCAGGGCTCAAAAGCTTTGGAGGATCAGAGACTTGAAAGTGAGGGAACAGCGCGGTTTCTCCATCGGGAAAAGGAGAAGTTGGACCAGAACCGGATACAACCGAGCTCGGAGAAATGAGCTGACCAAGTGGACTACCAGGAGGAAGTTGGTAAAACTGAAACTCATAACTAGACATTGGGAACTTATGACCATAGCTACCAGTTTGGTGGTTCGAGTTAAAGAGCTGCGCGAAAGGCACTTCCGGTGAAGAAGGTGTTGTGGTAGTTAAGTAGATGGATTCGTCAAGAGGAGGTGTGATCGGAGCTGAAGATGGTTCAGTAGTGTAAGTAGAGAAGACCGGAGGAGATACCAGTTGAGGTTCATGAGCGTAAGGTCCAATGGCGAAGATGGAAGGACGGTTATTACAAGGCAAAGGACTAAAAGAGAGGATCCCTACAGGTGACTGAGTAGCAGAAGGTGGTTCCGATTGGAAAAACGAAGCTGGAGATGAAGGTGGAGCTATGAAAGGAAGTGTAGTCATAACCGAACGATAACCGGAGTTAGATGTCGAATTTGAAGACATTGATACCGGTTCAGGAACAAGAACCGAGTTTCCTATTCGTTTCCTTTGTCCCGACGATCTGAAACATTTCAGCAGACTCCATCGATTCCACCATTTTCGCTTCTTCTGATTTCACAAAAAAAATTGCAAAATTTTTCAAAATCAGATTCGAGAAACTGAAATTTCACAAGGCTCTATTCTATGAATCTGTGTTTGAACAATCAGAGAAAGCTCAATTCCATAGTAATCGGTTTCGCCTACAAAGTGTTCGATCTAATGCTTAAGAGAAGAAATAATCAAACAGTTTCTGAGACTCACATGAATCGGAGAAGGTTGATGAAGACGATCATCAGAAGAAGCAATAGCAGAAGCAGCAGCGTTAATAGTTTCGAAAACGTTGTTTCCACCACCAGTAGCAGCACCGCTTCTCATCTTTCTTCTCTCTGTTTTTTTTTTCTACTCAGTATGAGAATTTTCCCGAGAAAACAAAACAGAGCATTCGATAAGTTTTTGTTCTCAAGTAAAAAAGACACAAAAACTTCTTCTTCAACAATCAAAATCAGAGAAAGAAGAAAAGAAAAAACATTAACAAACAAAAAAAGAGACACGTAAACACCGAAATTTCTGGGAATATTATTTGTAATCTCTTCTTCTTCGAGAAAAATATATATGTTCGTTCGTGTGTGTCAAGGTTTCAGGTCAAAACACGGCAAAGACGAAAGCCGTGCCACTACTTACTATTTCTTTGTAATATTATACCATCTTTGAGGGTAGTTTCGTCTATTTAACTTGCGAAGGATTTGACTAAAATATTTTTTTCCTTTCTCTGAAGTAAATTTTTAAGATATTGCTATTTTGTTTGTAATATTAATTTTGATCTACTTATCCAATTTTTTAAAATATTTTCAGTTTTATCATGGCGAATATTTTCAATTAATTTTCAGATTATTTCCTCTCTTTTTTTTTTTGACGAGATTAGCTATTTCTTAATACGAAAAGAAGATATTTTAAGGGAAAAAGTTATTAAGATTTTTTTAAGTAAAATAAAAAAATGAAAATGAGGATAGTGCAAAGAGAAAGTGGTGACACAGAAGCGCACGTGTGGGGGAGAATCGAATCTAAACTCTTTTAGATTATAGGTTTCTCGTGTGCACATTAAGTGTGGGGCTAATCTAAGTAATAAAATATTTTAATTTTTTTTAATATAAAGATACTATATATATATATATATTTTTTAAATTATGTCACAACGAAATTTCAACTTGTTTTGCACGGTGGCTTGACTTTATTATGTATCTTGGGTCTTTACTATTTTTTTTCCTTTTCTTTATACCATACCCAATAATATATATTTTGTGTCTTTAGTATTTTTTATTTATTTTTTACTTTTCTTCATCCCATACCCAATAATCAATCATAATAAAGCGACCTTTCTCAGTTTTGGTGATATATTTATGTAATCAATAATTACAGTGCAGATTTATTTGGCTCCTATACCTTTATAATATAAAACTGTGGTAGCTACTTTGTTTTAAGGGTTTTAAATAAGAATCAGTGCAATTGACTGATTTTATTTATTTTTGTTTCCAATAAGGGGAAAAATTATTATTGGAGCATTTACACAAAAAAGGGAAGACTGACATAGTTAATGTAATTTAGTCGTGCAATAGTGTTTTAGCTGTCACCAATTAAAATCTAATAAAGACAACCTTATATTTTTGATTTTTCAAAACAAAAAATAGATTCTTTTTTGGTAAGGAGATAGTTGGGAGTTAGAAGAATTAAATCGAAAGAGTTACGAAATGTAAAAAAAGATGAAAAAAGGAAGTAGAAAATGATGAGGTTTATGGCCAAGTTTAAGGATACACACCACTTTTACTAAATTACAATCTTTTTATGAGCAAAAGATAAGTTAATATAGTTCGTAGTTTCATTAGGAAATTGACATTGAACTTCGTGAATTAGATTTAAGTCGTTTTCTGAAATGAAAACAAAAAGATAGTCTCGTCGTTAAAGTTAAACACACATTAGTTATTGTTCTTTTAAAAATGCTATTAAAAATTTATGAAATCATAAGTTTGGATTATTAGGACCTGTCGGAAGTTCAATGAGTTAGGTCATCAACCCGCACTTCCGGACTCATGCTTTGACACGTGTCACCAACCAACTTTGCACTCATTAGATTGATTTTCTGATTTAGTATTTTCCTAACAAATCTACAAATATAAAGACATTTTGGCAAGATTTATTTATGAAATTGGGGATTTTAAGTGAGAAAATAAAGGCTGTTATCCACTGATTAATAGTAAAATTTTAACATTGCAGATAATTTATACTTTTACTTATTCGTTGCAGATTATAACACGACACCAGAATTTCACGTGCATCAAAGCTGGATGAAAAAGAAGACAACAAGTTTACGTGAGATTTCTTCCAAAATGGAAAAAGCCGAACCAAAAACAATATACAGAATACTAAAAGTCAGATTATATAAATCTACTTTAAGATTGGAACTTATCAGAACAAAAAAAGTTTCCATTACTACCTGCTTTATAAACCCTGTTAGTTATAATTATAAAATTTAATATTTGGATGTATACTATAATGTTGTAAATGTGGTTGAAAGAGACCAAGTTCACTTGTCTTGGTTCAGGTGGCACATATCAACGGCTGGGATGTTTTTAAAAGCTTCTTTTTCACATACATACTGCAAATGTACCTTGAAGATCTCATGAGACCAAAATGTGAAACACGAAATTGTAGTTTCGAAGACAGAGTCACTTACATAAACACATACCAAGTTTTGGTTTTGTTCCGCGGGTTTACCATCTGCAGAAAAGTAACATGTATATGTACATTAGTTGTCCTCTCTGTATCAATTTCATGATGAGAACATCTGAGGAGCAATGCACAGTGTTGTTATATCTAACTGCAACGATTATCTCCAATCTATATGTTTCGGAAAGAGGTTGTGAGAAAAGAGACATTGATAGAAATGAGGAGTCAAACGTACCAGTTTCAGCAGCAGCCACAATGACAAAGAAGAAACAGTCTTCAATAAGAAACCGAGATCTCGTAAGGCCAAAGTATCATTATGCACCCAAAAAGATGAGTAATCTGGAATCTGCATCTTAATTTTATAAACATAATTATCAACTAAAGACTTTGAACAAAAAAAAAAATTATCAACTAAAGACAAACCATTTGGTGTGTGTGACTGACCACTGACCAGCATGCATATTTCACTCTAAAACTAAATCCATACTTATATCTTTAAAACTTTTATATGATTATCTCCTCTTCGAAACCTAAATGACATATCGATAGATCAAAGACTCCGAGTAAATCCCACATGTTACAACACTAAGCTCATTTCTATCATAAAACATGATCTTGACACTACTAAACTTCAAAACCATTTGGATACTGAAATTCTAAATCCGGTGGGTATAAATTTAGTCCCTAATCAAGGAAAGACTGTGCTCCAGAAACATTATATATGTATAGAAAAGAAGAAGAAGACATACTACACTCTCTTTATATAGCTCAAGTATTAACACTCTCTTTTTTGTCCAAGATATTTATTGCTGATAGATTCCTCCTCCACACAGACTTCTTGCTTACCTTGATACAGTATGATGTGATAAAGTCATGTATTAACACTGGCAGCACTCATCTCATATCATATTCTTCTCTGACCTTGCCATCCATCTGCATTTTGATCCCAAAACGACAAAATCAAAAACATTTCTTCAGTGTATGATCGACAAAATGTCAAACAATACAAGCGAATGCAAAGTCTATATCTGGTTTTATCGACTTTTCTGCCTCAAATCGATCATGTTTCTCCAACTGTACTAAGTCCTCTCAGTTTGGTACAAGGACTATTACCTGTAGTTTTAGATAAACCAAATTGGACATTCACCATTTTTCAACTGCACCATCAAATCAAACCAGATACCAGACAAAGTATTTTAATCAAATATCATGCCTACTTCTGCGTTAAACAAGATAAATACGGTCGAACATTTTCTATTGTTACAACCAATCAGCCTAGGTACAAAAAAATTGTGGGAAAGACAAAACCTTACACATACAACTTTTGAAATCCGAAAATTTCTTGAAAGCTTCTCTGAATTTGTTTGAGCACTGATGTTGTGTTAACAAATGTTTGCGTCATCAACTCTTGTCTGAGACCTAGCAGGGTAATAACAAATGAAATCAGAGAGATGTTATGAAGCTCAGACAAAACATCAAACGAGAAGTTGTGATTAAAATAGCAGAAAAAATATCTAACCACCTCACTACTTTCTCCATGATGATAGAATTGTTTTAAGAAAGCATTTCGAGGAAACTTTTGTCCAATCTCCCATCATATAACATATTAGTGACCAAACCAAAAGTTGAAGCATCTCCAACAAACCCACAACTCCTCATTTCTTTGATAAGTTCAGCCGATGCGGCTGTGTGGCCTTCTCTGAGATGTGCCTTAATAAGTGTATTATAGGTACGGTCATTTGGCAAAACCCCAACTTCTTTCATTTTTCTGGACAAGGCATCAGCTTCTTGCATTAAGCCTTTTCCACAAAATCCTGAGATCATGGTAGTGTAGGTTACAACATTAGGCTTCACTCCTTTAATGCTGAGACTACAAAATAAATCCCACCCATCTTCCACCTTCCCAGCCTTGCACATCCCTTCAATTATAATATTATATGTAATGATATCGAGTACCAAGTCACTCTTTTGCATATACTCGAATACCACCAATGCCTTCTCTAGCTTCCTGTTATTAAAAAGTCCATCTAACATAATGTTGTATGTCATAATACTGGGATGCACACCACCACAAACCATCTGTTTGAAAACATCCTGGGCATTATCACAATCTCCTGCTTGAAATAACCCTTGGATAAGAGTGGTGTAAGTGACTGTATTGCCAATCAAGCCTCTTTGAGACATCTCACGGAAGAGTTTCATTCCATCTTTTACCTTCTTACACTTACAATATCCATTTATAAGAGTACTATAAGTCACTACATTTGGGACACAACCCTTGCTAACCATCAAATTAAACATTTGCTTAGCCTCCTCTAAGCGATTTTGAACGCAAAACCCGTTGATCAATGAACTGTAAGTGATAATATTAGGATCTAGAGACCTTTTGATTATCTCCTCGTACAATTTCTCAGCCTCTGGAAGCTTCCCCTCTTTCACAAACGCATCGATCAATGCATTGAAAGTGACTACACTAGGACTGATTTTCCTCTCAATCATATCACTGAGTAGTCGAGAGGCATCACTCCATCTTCCGTAATTACAAAGGCAACTTATGAGGGAGTTGTAAGTACAACATCTGGTCTAATTCCTTTGTTCACCATTTTGTTGAAAAGGTCGAGCGCATCATTCACGTGTCTATATTTGCAAAGACCATCAATGATTGTGCTGTAGATTACAACACCAGGCTCTAT